CAGAGGGTAACACACACACACACACACACACACACACACACACACACACACAAAATCACAGACACAGCCAAGACAAGAAAGTGCACAAAAAGGCAACAGAAGAAACAAAAGGAGAAAAAGAGAATAAAGAATAAGTAAAAGTGAGAGAAACCAGACCAGAGACAGACAAAGACACAGCAGCAAAGATTTAAAAAGAAAATGATAAGAGTGTAGAAAACACAGACATGAAGGAGTGAAAAATAATGATTCAGAGGTGACTCATATACTCCGGATAGTGAACAAAAGCATGTGACAGGTGGAGTCTCTAATTCAAGAATAAATGAACATCTTTCATGTCACTTATACACTAAGAAACAGTGTGAATGTGTGTGTGTGTGTATACCCAGAGTGTAGCAGACTGGAGGACAGCACCACATTATCAAGGTGCTCAGCACCCCAGCTCAGCCGGAACGAGTCCTTATCGTGTTCTTTAGACAGCGCTGACACCTACAGAGCGACAAGCAGGCCAGTTTGGGTCACAAAAGCCAAAATATTCGAAAGTAAACCGTACACTTTTTGATTGCTTTGTCCTCACCTGGTGGCTTGTGAGCATGTCTTCGATGAGAACTCCGTCTCTCTGACAGAAACTTTGGTGAATGGGAGTGTGCTGCGGCCTGTTGGAAAAGCAGGTTGGATTCGTATGTATTTATCTTTTTATTCATGTGTATCATGGCAGGTCGGCACCTGCTCTACACGCTGTCATTTATTCGTTGTTTTTTTTAAGTGTGAGTATGTGTGTGTTGTTCGAGACCTGTCCAGGTTGTGGCTCATGTAGCTGAAGCTGTCCAGGTAGTGTCCCGGCAGAGAGTCATCTCCCAGCTCTCTGAGATCCTCCGCTCTCAGGTACTCCCCTCCATCCCCTGTCATAGTGTCCTCACCTGGGAAACAAAGATGAGAAGCATAGATTTAAAAAAAAAAAAAAAAATCATCTTTATGCAGAACTTAAAAGAGTCCATTTTGGCCGTCGCCACTTTCACTTTTTGCAACCAGAAGTGTCACGAAAGGGTGGAGGTAAATACAACCAAACGCTAAATAAGACATTTTTACCAAAACGTTCACAATTAACTTTCATGAACTCAAAACACACTGTGAAAGGCTTAAAGTTGTAAGACAAACATGGACAACTCCTGGACTGGACAACGCCGTGGTAGCGACCTGTCAATCACAAGGTAGCCACGCCCTAAACTTACCCTGCTTTATTTGACTCTAAATACATGATTAACCACAACCATAATTTACTAAATGAACATCATGCTGTGTTGAAGAAGACTTGAAACTTGAGATTGAGACCATAAACTCATGTTTACAATGTTTACTGAGGTAATAAATCAAGTGAGAAATAGAGTCATTTTCTCATAGACTTCTATACAATCTGACTTTTTGTTTGTTACCTGAGGAGTTGCCCCCTGATGGCCAGTAGAAAAAAAGCAGTTTAAGGCACTTCCATTGGCTTCACATTTTTAGCTTCTGAGCTCGCGAATCACTTTTGTGAAAGGTTCTGAAGATTTAACAGCCTTGTGGACAATGCATATTCCATAGGTCAGCATTACTAAACCAGTGCATTCCTCAACTATCCATAATTATCACAACTGTCATGTTCACACCCACAGCCCCGTGTCATGCAGTTAGTTTCCACCATTGCATTCAAACACAATCAACAAAGTTAGATCAAGGAAGTTCTGCTTATTTAAAATCATATATATAAACTGCACAACAACAAAACTCAGATATATTAAGTGCATAGACTCTCTAGAAGGGATCATGGATTTTGAGTAAAAGGCTGGAGACAAAATTCTCAAAATTCATGGTTTTAGCAAAAAGCTAATGCATTATTGCACACTATACCAATATGATCACACCAGTTGGTTACAATAACACAAATAAAGTCCACACCAGGCTGACGGAGCAGGGAAGACATTTTGCTCTACCTTCCAGCTCCACAGACATCTCAGATAACGGCTCGCCATCCAGCCTCAAAGCTATGAAACATACAGCTTTTAGACCCACGGCTGCAAAACTGCATCACCCACAGTACACAGCTATTCGTGACTGCTGAACAAAGGGAACGAGAGCTAGCGTGTTTTTATCCAAGGTCAGCTTTGAGTTATAGTATCTGATGATAGGGGTAGCCTAAAAAACGTCGCCAGTTCCTTTGTCTGTAAACGGGACGTTCTTTTTCTTTTTTTTCTTTTTCAGTATCAAGTAACTCACCTTCTTCATCAGACACATCAAGGATCTCAGTCATGGTCTCGGGAACATTGAGCTTGTGTTTCTCTGTGACCGTCTGACGTGATTAGCATCCACAGTCATGGGGAAAGAGACAACCAAATTAGAGAAAAGTTCATTAGTTTCTCTGGGAAATTTCGGACAAAACCTACTGGTTCCACATCTGGAGTCTAAAGATATCACAAGCCTACCGTTGTGGTAGTGATGACCTCCTCAGTGACGACTTTCAGTGTGTCCACTACAGAGATGTAACCCAAACGTCTGGCAATAGACAGAGCAGTGTTTCCATTCTAGCAAAAAGACAGAGAGAGATAGTTTTCATGTGACATAAAAGAGAGATCCCTCTTTCTTTTCTTTTTTTTGCTTATTATCTATTAAAGTGAAGAGAGTAAATACATGCTTTTTTTCTTACCACTGTAGTAGCATTGGGCTTGGCGCCATGTTGTAGCAACATATTGATGATGTGTGTATTCCCTTGTTGTGCTGCTTGGTGAAGGGGTGTGTATCCATTCTATAGAACGAAAGATCGCATCACTGAACACAGATTTTAAAATGATCAGCGTTCCGAAACTTCCGAGTTTGACATTTAAATTCTACCTTGGTTTTGGCGTTGACACTGGCACCTTGCTGTAACAGGAAGTTGACCATCTTGGCATTTCCATAGTGACAGGCCACTATCAGAGGGGTATATCCCAGCTGAAGGAGTAGTAGAGAGGATGTGGACATAAAAAGGTTAAAAAAAAATAGTTCTTTCCAAATGTACCTGCTTTGTTTTACTTGTTTGTGGAGTAGCTGTGTATATAGAGCAACAAACGGATATAAAACTCCGAATGATGCAGATATTGTCATGCTTTCCTAAAGCCAGCAGGTGGCAGATATGCTGAATTTGTGTTGAGATTCCTTACATTTACTGTAAACACAACTTGCACTAAATGCATACAAATTAAGCTACATAACACACCTGGGGGATTTCCATTAAATAGCCAGCGTGTATAACACAATGATATTCTAGAATATGTTTAAAAAGAAAAAAAAAAAAAAAAAGGTTTAATCCTTGTCTCCACTTCTGTATAATCACATCACTAGTAATTAGTGTTTAAATTCAAGTGTATGTGTGTTTGTACCTTAGTTTGCTGATCCAAGTTGGCATCATGTTTGGCCAGCACTTCTGCTGCGCTGACTCTGTCCTCTTGGGCTGCCAGATGCAGCGGCGTCAGTCCGGCCTGTAACATACAAAGCGCAGAGTTACCTTACTGTCTTTGTGTCTAACTACTTGGGTGAATCACTTGATTTATAAATCATACATGCGGTTATTGGGCCACGATAGGAAAAAAAACCTGTAACTCAATCCCTGTCGCATATTCTCAGTGGTTGCAAGAGTCATAACATGTGTTTCTCTGCTTATGTGCTGTGAAAATGGGAGAACTGATGGGGTTGTGTCCAAAACAAGTGTCTGCAAGAAGTATGAACACGTGTGCGTGTTTGTGTGCGACCTTGGTGGCTGTGTTGGCGTGAGCTCCTTTGCCCAGCAGCAGGCTGGCCATCTCAGCGTGTCCTTCCTGGGCCGCCAGGTGCAGAGCGCTGACTCCCTGCTTGGTCAGAACGTTGGTCTCTGCTTCATACTGCAGCAGCGCCAACGCGATGTTCGTCTGGTTCTTTTTGGCGGCAATGTGAAGAGGAGTGTAGCCGTTCTGGAGCAGTAGGAGGGGGAACAGTTAGGTGCTGTAACAACATCACTCAAAAATCACCCTATAACCCGTGGCTTAAAACAACAGGTGCAGCTAAAATCTAAAACATCAAGAATGTCTCAGGTTTTGGTGTCAGCTCTTAAAAATCGAAGGACTTCTCAGCGTCAGTCTGAACCTCTTAGTATCACAACTACAATGCAAAATACTCGACAAGATCTTGAGCCAAGATGAAGAAAAGGGTTTAAACTCAAAGTGAAATGCAGTGCTTGATCACAAAATAACTGCTATGGCAGAATGCAGCGCACATTGTGAGAGTGTCTGAAGTACTAACCTTTGCAGTGGCATAAGGCGATGCACCTTTATCCAGCAGCAGCAGAGCTACTTCTTGGTTGTCATAATGAGCTGCCACATGTAGCGGAGTCAGGCCATTCTGTAAGAGGTAGGACTTTGATTAAATAATTGAAACCTTGATGATTTTGTTGAGTTTTGTCCTGCTTACAACAGTTGTATTGTACTCTATTGTACTCTATAATGAGTCTATTTCAGAGACACAACAGCCCTGGAACAACCTCACACTTTGTCTCTATTTAAACAATGTGTAGAAATAATCCAGATTCACCTTGCCGGCATCATCAGGGAGAGCTTTGCGTTGAAGGAGAAGTTTTGCTACATCGAGGTTTCCATACTTAGCTGCTACATGTAATGGAGTGAATCCTTTCTGTGGAGGGACAAGGGGGAAGAGGTTTGTTTCAAACCCGCATGTCCAAACTGTTTAATGTTTAACTGGATATTTGTGAGTCTGTGTAAGAATTTGTTTTGTTTTTTTGTGTGTGTTCACCTTCGTGGCCAGCGAGTGTGAGGCTCCGGCCTCCAGCAGCACGGCAGCGGTCTCGATCTGGCCCTCCCTAGCTGAGATGTGGAGGGGAGTGTAGCCGTTGGTGGTGGCGGCGTCCGGGTGAGCCATGTGCTGCAGCAGCAGCTGGACAATATCGGTTTTCCCCAGACGGGACGATATGTGGAGGGGGGTCTGGTTCTCCTGTGGTTGAGGGATGAGACGGCAGAGAGAGAGAGACGGCTCGAGGCAGTTGTATTAGAAAAGACAGCAGCCGGAGCCGAGGCAGGCGACGTGACCCGTGAGTATGCGTATGCGAGCCGTATGAAATATTGCTCGGCTGCGATAAACAGAAGGAAAGAGAGGTTAACTCTGATGATGCCACAGCTGACTCACCCTGGCTATAGCATCCACCAACGCTCCGTTCCTCAGCAAACAGCGAACCACTTCCATCTGACCCGCTCGTGCTGCCATGTGGAGAGCTGTCTCACCACGCTGGCATGCAAAGACAGGACGTTTATGAGCATTAAGATGCTGAAAGAAACACTCTGCTGGGTAGTCTGCTGGGTAGTCTGACTACTGACCACAGAGAGCTGAACAAACTATTTGTCAGTACTCACAATGTTACGGACGTCAGGAGATGCTCCATTCTGCAGCAGAAGTAAAACGATGTTGAGGTGGCCCATGAAGGCAGCTACATGGATGGGCGTCAGACCAGACTAGAAAGACCGAGCGAGAGAGAGAGAGACAGAAAGATGAGCATAAAAGGCAAAGTTCCATACAGTTAAAGTGATCCATATTTACAGGTGCTGGTCTGAGACGCGGCCCGCAGAGTGTCTCACCTCAGTAATGGCCTGAATGGAGGCTCCATATTTGACCAACAGTTCCATCACCTTCACCCTGTTCTTCTTGCAAGCGATATGGAGAGGAGTGAAACCATTCTGTCGGAGAAAGGGGAAGAGAAACTGATGAATACTTCATCCACGGAGGAGGAAATGTAGTTTTATTTATTTATTGCCCCTTTATCTGATCCTTACAGGTGATGTGGCCCTTGTCAGGGGCATTTACATAGTAAGTAATGAAGAATGAATGAAATGTATACTGGTAAATTATCACTAAATTTACAGTATGACCGTATGACTTCGCTTCCACTGTTGGGTAATGGTCTCGTGTCTTACGAAGGAGAATTAATTGAATTTGATATGGTATTATATGAATCATTCCCTAACCCTGTATCATCTACCTGCATGTGTAATATTTGTGAACCCCTACCAGAGCTCTGATATTAGGATTGGCCTTCTTGTCCAGCAGAAGCTTTGTGACTCTGTAGTGGCCGCAGTGAGCTGCGACGTGCAGCGCCGTGAGGTAGTCCAGTGTGACGTCATCTACCGGTGCTTTGTGCTGCAGCAGGAGCTTCACACACTCCACGTGGTCTCCCTGGGCCGACATGTGCAGCGGCGACAGTCCGTTCTGTGTGAGGGGGAAAGTAACGACGCGCGATGAGAAGCAAAAGGGGGAGAAAACGCAAGCGCTTTTCAAGTGAAATACTACTGAAAGCCTGAGGTTTTTAGTTGCAGCACAACTGCATCCTGGAGCTGAAATTACACATGCACTACCTTGGTTCTGGCTAAGATGGGAGCTCCTCTCTCCAGCAGAATTTCCACTGCTGGGTCATGTCCACTTCTGGCTGCACAGTGCAGGGGGGTCAGCCCGTCCTGCGGGACAATCACACACAATATACACAAAGTGTGAAAATGACAAAAAATAAAAGGCACTTGACAAATGGTTGGTAGATTCTACTAAAGGGACAGTTCACCCCAAAATCAAAACTACATATTTACGCTCCTACCTGTAGATCTATTTATAGATCGTTTTGGTGTGAGTGGCCTAGTTTTAGAGACATCAGCTGTAGAGGTGTCTGCCTTCTCTTCAATATAATGGGACTATATGGCAGTCAGCTTGAGATGCTCAAAGGGCCAAAAATACATTTGAAAAACATTCTTTTTCCAGAAATCATGACCTGGTTAATCAAGAAAATCCAAGGACCTTGTTGTGATATATTTCAAGTAGGAACTATTTCATTAACCACAGCTGAGTGCCATATGGTCCTGATATATTCAAGAGAAGGCAGACATCTCTACGGCTGACATCTCCAAAACTAGACAACTCACACCTAAACAATCTAGATTGATAAATAGCACTACAAGTAAGAGGGAAATATAATGTAAAGGAATGTGTTGTAACTGCTGTTCATTCTGTACACATCTATTGCACTTCTGTGCATCCTGGGAGAGGGATCCCTCCTCTGTTGCTTTCCCACAGGTCTCTTCCTCTTTTCTCCCCGTTAAAGGTTTTTTTGGGGGAGTTTTTCCTGTTCTGATGCGAGGGTTCCGGGACAGAGGATGTCGTACGGGTACAGATTGTAAAGCCCTCTGAGGCAAATTGGGAATTTGTGATTTTGGGCTATACAAAAATAATTTGAATTGAATTGAAGTATGTATTTTTGATTTCGGGTGAACGGTCCCTTTAAGCAGTCATTAAGGGGAGGCGGCAGAATTATGACTATTGAGTAAGAGCTAATGTCCAGACGTTAAATAAGAGTCTCACCCTGGTTTTAGCATCTATCTGACCCCCTCGGTCCAACAGCAGGGCCACCATGTTGGTGTTGCCTCTCTTGGAGGCCACGTGGAGAGGCGTTATCCCATTCTGACAGGGCAGGCAAAAAAGAAGAAAGTTACAAGAACGAAACCATACCACAAATATTCATCATCTTACACAGCAAATATATTTAAATCCCATTCCAATTCTGCATCACAGAGAAAGTCTTACAATCTGTCTTGATAATTGTTTGCATGGTTTTAATCTTTTTGCTTCTGAGTAGAGATCAATGGTAGACAGTTACATCACCAACTACACAACTGCATCTAAAAGAAGCTGAAGCTAACTTCATGGACCGATCTTTGACAGGCTGGGTAGTAGCTGTTAATAAAGGCTAAGATTAAAAGTGAAATGATATAGGTTAAACACACTGCTTTGCAAGCCTTCAAGTGGAAACACAAACGTCAAGTTTTAACAGACAGCAGTACAGAAAATGTCTTGATTTGTTAAAATGGGCGATACCCTGGCTGTGAAGTCCACAGCGGCTCCTCTGTTCAGCAACAGGGTGGAGACATTCACGTTGCCGTAGTGAGCCGCGATGTGCAGAGGGGTAAACCCACTCTGCTTGAGACGGACAAGAAGAGAGGAAGGGAAGGAGAGAGTGAGAGGGAAAGGAAAAGGAAAAATAGGACAAAAAAAAGGAAGAAAATGCAACATTGGTTGAAACAGCAGGTGAGGAAAAAAAGTAAGAGTTGCAAAAGAAGAGCAAAGTAAGACGAAATGAGATGAAAGACAGAAAGAATAAACTAACGCAAGAAAGAACGATCCGATTCAACTGTGGCGGTTACCAGAAAGAAACCTGACTCTACTGATGCAGTATAACGATGAGGCGGCATGCTGAAAAAAGAAAACTACATAATTGGTGTCGGAAGGAGCATACAAAAATTAGCATACCCCCCAAAATAGCACAGGCAATACATAATGCATGCAAAAACCATGCAATTCTGCCATGCTCGCTAAGAAAAAAAAACCCAAAACAAGTGGTGAAAAAAAAAAAAAATCAAAGCACTTCACAAAAAAGTGAAATACACAAAGCAAATACACACTATGTGTATCTGCTTGGACGGACAAATGGACATTTATATATGAGCCATATATATATATAAATAAGTATCTACAGTACACAGTTAAGTGGGTTCACTCCTTACCTTCCCATTCTGATAGACATGGTGCAATTTAATTAAGAAACAGAGTTAACTTAAAGATCAACAACGTGTGTCAGAGAGGAAAAACAGTGCTTTCAATGTGCTATCAAGTACACATGCCTCAGGTTATGCACAGAAAAAGCAGTGAGTGAAAAATGTGGTTGGAATGTGATTTCAGTCAGGTATTTAAATCTGTAAAGCTAATACATTTTAAAGAGAGAGATTCATTGATTAAAATATAAAATATATACATAATTGAAATGCAATAAACTTCATTCTCTGGGGATCTGTTGATACAACACAATGCCTTTTGCTGTCAGCCATGCAGGAGTGTGTGGTACAGCACTGTCAGCTGCATGCATTTATATTAAATGGCACATAATTCTGACATGCAGGACGTCTTAAGTCCTCGCTAAACAAGGGAAAGATCAGGACAAAAGATGACGGAAAGGGAATTAAATGAAGAGGTGATAGAGTCTATATACCTCTGTGGTTCTATTGACCATCATCTGGTTGGGACGCATAGAGAGAGAGGGGGGGGGGGGGGGGGAGCAATAGGATGTAGGATTGTTAGGGAAAGGGGCTTATCACAAGAATCACATAAAACACAGGGTGAGTTTATAAGGTCACACAAACAGAAAAGAAAAAGACGTGGAGGCAAACAACAAAAGCCCTCTGAGAGAGGTTCTGCCCATTAATATGATCGTATTCCTAGACGGCAAGCAAATAATCGATTCAAATAAATAAAACTGTCGACATGATAAATCATCCATTCAGTCAGATGCATTACCACACACTTCCTGTTTCCCTCTCCCATTATGTAATTGCACTCTCCCCTGCTTACTGTTCCTATTCTCCCCTCCGCCTCCACTACTTCTACCCCCCCCCCTCCCTCACCTTAGACTGGACGTCGGCGTTGTGGTCGTTCTGGAGCAGCAGCGCGGCCGACTTGGTGTCGTCTTTGCGGGCAGCGATGTGCAGGGCCGGGAGGCGGACCTTACCCTTGGTGTCGTGCTCCAGCAGCAGGGAGACCACCGAGTTGTGGCCCTGCTGGAGAGCGATGGCCAGCGGAGTGAAGCCGTCCTGGAGGAGGCGGAGAAGAAACAACCAAGGATAAATGAACACAATCAATTTAGAGAAAAGCAAAGGAAAACGGGGATATTCCTACCTCTGTTGCAATGCTTTGGTTCCCTTCATTTTCCAACATGTATCGCACCACCTCCAAGTGGTTCTCCTGGGCTGCCATGTAGAGCGGAGTGAAGCCATTCTGTGGAGGCAAATGCACATGGCCCGTACTTGCACACGCATGTAATGTACAATTGCTCTGGGTAGGTGTTCTGCACATCTCGAATGCATCATCTGATAGCTTTTGATGATTGCAAAGCTTCTCACCTGTGACTGAAAGTTGACGTCTGCTCCTCTCTTCACCAGTAGTCGGACTACTTCTTTTTGTCCGGCCAATGAGGCAATATGGAGGGCAGTGTTTCCTTTCTACAGAGATAAAAAAAACAAAAAGACAGGGTTAATGCCACCAGGTGAGTGTGCATCTTGTGTGGGTATAAAGGCCTTAGAGCTGCTCGAAAGGGGTGCAAACATCTATTAAGGTTCTGCATTCTTAAACTAATTATGCAAATTGCTACTACACAAGACGTGTTTTTATCTTGCATCCGTTTTTATTTTCGAGACTGATTAATACCAAAGGCCAAATTCATGTCAATCCAAGGACATGGGCAGTCAGTGTCAGATTCTTTCGCGGCTGATTACTGTTGCTCGTTGTTAAGCATTGTTAACATTAGACATCCACAGAGTCCCATAACGGACAGCTTGCCAAGTAGCTTACCCTCGCACTGGCTCTCATCCCTCCGTCTCCTTTCCAGTAAAGACAGAACATCTAATCAGGACAGCAGTGACTTGACTAAACTGATTCAAAATGCTGTCGCAATTCGAAAGAAAGAATCCAGAACTCATGTTGGACAAGTTTATTGTGAGTGTATGAAAGTTGGAACTCTTTTAACGTAACTTTAAGCCTCTTAAATCACCCTCAGGTCCACCACCACCCTTTGCGAATCAAGCTTCACAGGAGAGAGAAGCAGTGATTTACGTAGAACTGACAGCATCATATATTACTGACACTCACGTGCACTATTTCCCATCATCTCCCTCTTCCTCAATCTGTCACTATCATCCCCCGCCCTCCTTTATTGTTTCCCCCCCACATCTTCCCCCATGTGTGGCTAAAGATCAAACTGTGATCTGTTAGCATCTGTAAAGTCGATAATAATTAACGTGACATTAACATGTACCTTGGTGGGAGAGTTGACAGGCGCTCCTCTCTCCAACAGCTCCTCCACTAAATCCTTGTGTCCCTCCTTCGCTGCCAGATGCAGCGCGTTCAGACCGTTCTGGAGAGAAAAACAAAAAGGAAACACCAACGTGAGGCTTCGGGGAAACAAACAGGGCGAAGTCATTATTGCGTGACGGAAGTGGTGCAATTCTGTAGAGGTTAATGTGTAGTTGTCAAAATCACATTGGAACAATGTTATATATAATGGGAACATAAGGATCCCCAAAAAAAATGCTTGTGTGTGAAATATGCACTTAAAAACAATAAAAATTACATACAATTCTTACAGTGGGATGATTTGCAAAAATACAAAAGAAAAGGAAAAATTATGCTTTTTTCTAAAATGCTTTGGGAGATCAACATCCAGCCACTTAAACACGAGAATGGTAAATGGACTTGTGCAGCTCTTTTCTAGTCTTCCGACCACTCAAAGCGCTTTAACACTACATGACATCATTCACCCATTCACACAACTATCTAACATTCACACCCAACCGGCACAGCCTACGGGAGTAATTTGGGGGATAGGCATCTTGCCCAAGGACATATCGACGTGGACTAGCGGAGCCGGGGTTCGAACCATCTGATTGAAGGACGACCCGCCCTCCCACTGAGCCCACTGTCACCCAGAGAAGTACTGCATCAGTTACAGAAAATATGGCTGATTTATTTTCCTCAAGGCAGGTTTACTGCGAACATTACACATCAAAGGCCTCTGATCCATCAGCCAGAGCTACACGCTGGGAGCGGCACAAGAGGAGGAGAGCATAAACGTTTCACAGTGGCAGGCAGTCGCAGCACAGCTGATGTATTTTTACACAAACGCGTACAGAAACACATTTCCTCTGAGACGGACACGTATGAACACACACAGAGAAGGATGATTCACCTCGTCCTCCTCTTCGTCCATTCTGCGCCGTGTCTCTCTGAAACTAAGAGAGTATCTTAAACCGTGACCTGGTTTTTAGTTCCTGATCTCTTTCCGTCTTCTTTTCTTTTCTTTTTTTTATCTTCCACCTTTTTAAATGGTGCTTTAAGCTGGATTTAGAAGTGATGGAGCTCCAACCATCAACAGCGGCACTATTCCTCTACTCCCCCCCCCACCCCCTGGTTTAGATCCAAGCTTCTGGGTCTCTCTGCCTTCTTCTCCCCCCCTTGCAGACTCTGTCAGATGGGTTGAAGAGAGGAACTGTTCCTCCTGGCTCTGAAAGCTCTCCTGGCACTGATGTAAAAGAGGAGCCGTTATGTTGCTTACACCTCTATCATTGCTGCCTTCCTTCCATCGCGCACGTACAACACGCATGCATGCACACAAATAAGTTAACACACACACTCCCTCCCTCCCTCCCTCCCTCCCTCTCTGATTTGCCAAATGCCAAACAACCAAACGGGGTGTCATGTTTCTGCAGTCACAGGGGCTATGTAGAACACAACACACGTACACACAAACATGGATCAAATTTAGAAGCTGCTGAAAATGTCAACCTTTCAAAAAGAAAAAAGAAAAGTGGACATTCATCAGAGGCCAAAGTATGTAAGTGAGTGTCTGGTCAAGTGTGTCACAGGCATGACTTTAAAAAGGGTAAACATGAGGGCCACCATTGCATATATATCTTAATGCAAAAAGTTCCTAAAAAATAAATAGAAGACTAGAAGACAATCACAGTGAAATCATAGAGGAAAAATAAATATATATTTCTTGCTATACAATGACTATGTTTACCTGCAGACAGAGATTGATCAAATTTTCCGTGAAATGTGAGTCAGCTTGTTATTATCAATTTAGACGACGTAAATGTGTATCCGGATATCTCGATTCCATTGAGAGGCGATATTTTATCATATTTAATTATCTCCCGGCCCAGCAACAATAGGCCTCCAATAGGAAAGCTTACTGTAGCACAAATCTGAGTCATCTGAGGAGATATTTCAACAATTAAAACATATTTCATCCTGTTACAGCCTATTTTTTTATCATCAATCTATCCATTTTAGTTTGCTTTTCCAAATAATAATAGTATCATTAAGTCACAATTTCACAGAACCCAGTTGTAATTTACGATAATAAAGAACAGAGGCAGGAGCAGCCAATCTTAAAACAACAAAATCTTCACATTTGAACATCTTGAACCAGTAAATCGTTAACATTTCTTCTGGAAAAAAGAAATCATGAAGATTGTTGTCCATAAATCAGCTGATCGATTGACTGACTAATCCTTTCAGCACTATCACGGACATCATCGTCATCAGGTGATGGGTGTGGTTGCACTGAGCTGGAGATGCTCGTCATTCTCTCCCACGGAGAAATATTCATCGGGTTTGTGAGGTCGCAATGCCAACGCTTCTAATGTCATCACTCCACTAAATCATGAATTGCATTTTCACTGCGGTGCTAACAGGCGAGGGTGGAAACTACCTCCAAATGTGGGATTAGAAGCTCTTTGCTGCGGTTTGAACATTGCAAAAAAATCGTTGCGTTTCCGCCACTTCTGAAATGGTGGACTCACTGTCACAGCAAGAATTATGCAATCCTATTATCGAGTTTCAATCACATCTCAACCGTTAGGTATTCCAGGAGAGACCAGCAAAGCCCACAACAGACTCACACATACACGCGCCCCGTCGTACAAGCTGATCCAAATCTCCTTTCCCTCTGAGCTGCAAGTGAAAGCTTCATTTAGCTAATGGACGTCCAGCCCAACGCAGTGATCCCTGGCACTTCGTAGTGCATCCTGGCAGGAGGGACACTGTTGAGCGCCATCCCAACGCAGATTAATATTCACGTCCCTTTGATCGCTGACCTTTGTTATAATCACACGTGGTAATAAATGGTCACGTACATTTGGTGTTGTTGTTTTATAGGCCAAAATGTCAGAGGGGATGAATGTTGGGAGGAAAAAAAAGAGGAAATAATGTAAATGCATGCAGATTAAAAGAGTAATATCACTCATCGAGGATTAGCATTTGGGTAGATTAGAGGGGGAAGTCTTTCGTTATGAGGACATGGAAACGAAACCGTTCACATACACAAATACACACTGAAATTGAACGTTTTGTGTGCTCACAAAGTCACGCTGCCTTACAACTGGGGGCTAAAGCTATCGGTCAAGACGGTGTTTTATTAATCTCACTACACTCACTCACAGGGAGTGAGTCTCTTCCTCTCCTTCACTAACTTGGACAGCCCTCTGCCCTTGGCACCAGGCTCCGGCCCTCGCCACCCTGCTGCTGCTGCTTTCCAGGATCTGACTCTTCAGTTTGCAATGAACACATCGTGGCACTCAAGGTTCCTGGGGTGACGTTCCAGCGTCTCTCGCTGTCGACCAGATGACTTAAGTAACACCAATGATGATATTACTTCTACTACTATGAATTTTAAGGATACACTTCCTGGATTGTATCGGATGACATTACAGAAAACAACAATTTGTACTGTGGAGATTATATTGTAACATACTCTGACAATTGTGAAAATAGGATGTTACTGATCTGTTTTTTTATGATTAAACTTCAAACATCTCCCCATTCATTGAAGCCGGTTTATCTCTTGTGACCTCTAATGCCTCAGCACTGTCCTGCTTCCTGTTATGAGGGCTACTTTCACCCAAGAACACAATTGTGAGGACAGGTTAGCTTCCATTGGTACCCAATATGCATAATGCCGGCAGCCGGACTCTCAATAAACCCTTTCCAGTCCACATTCATATAGCGATGTGGACCAACATGCCCCTTTTCTCTTTTGCAATTCAGCTATCATCCGCTCTAAGCTCCAACCTTGCCATTTTTGGTGGAGTCCAGTAATTCCTACTCATACTAAATGAAGTTAGGAGTGTCTGCATGTCTCGGGCTATGGAGTACCATGACGGTACTGCTTTCCTTCAGGCTTCTAGACCTTTTTTCCATGTTATCGTAACACTCTCATAGTTTGGGGATTGATGGATGTATCATATTTAGACACAGTAAATGTATCCCATCAAACAGGTCTGCAATTAACATTATACCTGCTCTCACCAAATGTTCCCATAAAACAGATCTTTTATTCATTTTCAATAACTAATCATACCAAACATTTGGTACAGTCTGATGAGCTAATGCCAGCACAGGGTCTCTATAAGGTAAACCCCTTCCTGTCTGAGTGAGTAAAGCTTGCATCGAGAAGGGTTCTAACAGCTCTTTCTCCAATGCAAATCAAGCAGGAGCTTAGATAACTGACTGAGTGAGAGGATCCCAGACCATCCTCCTCCACTGACGGGAGCATGGCGGAGTGAAATCTAGAGGTGTCATGTATGTTATATAATTGGTTTGGGGCAATTCAATCATCTTTAAGAGACGCACTATTGACTAGTGAAGTAGATTATTTAAAACTGTTTGGAATAGGAGGTAGTAAGTTCAAGTTCATTATATTTCCAAATACTACCCCAAAAACACAATCCAGATAGAAACCATTTAAATCGCCAGTTACTACAAACACTCGGGGGACAGAATAAAAGATAAAGAAATAGCTTCAGACAAAAAAATTGTATATCCTGATATATGTAAAAAGGAACCAATCAAAGAAAGAATACGGTGGCGCTGTAGTTTCTGGGTTGCTTGCAGCAGTAAAATATCATAAATAACTTGTGTTCTTTTTTGCCCGGTGGACATCTATACCAAAGTTTCACCTATTTCATGTATGAACTACCAAACAGAGCAAATATCGCAAACTAGTTATTACTAACAGTGTCTACACTGTAATAATAAGTCCAATTTGTACTCAGATACAAACCTTCATTTTAAAGTCACTGCAGATTAACTGATTGTTACTTCCAATTACGAGACCGCACATTTTAGATTAAAACTGTCATGTCTGTTAGTGTTCTGACTCTATTGACTGCAATGCTGACAGAACTATTATAGATAATGGCTCTGTAATTGTGTGGAGTGCTTTTCCACTGACATTATTTTGATCCACTCATTTCCTTTGGAACAATTTTGCTGCTAATCGCAGGTAACGTGATACTTTTGAATCATCAACTATGCCTCCTACTATCACTCTGGTGGTTGTGGAAATTAGTACCTCCTCGAAATACCATTACGGTTCAAATAGCAACACATCTGGGGCATCTGCCGCCATCAGCATGAACGGAGCACAGTGTGGTGCGTTGGAGTGGCGGGTAGAAATGTGTCCTCGGCTGCCGTCAACACAAAAACGTATCGAACTAACTTTTAAACATGCCTGCAATACAAGGACTGGACTTGTAAGAATGAGTGCATGTGTGTGTGTGTGTGTGTGTAAGCTTGTGCATGCATTTAAGCATGTGTAGTAAGAAACACACGCGGGAACATGTACACATTGCTTTACATTTATGTGACGTAAATTTGAAATGTTGGGGAATATGTACGTCTTCAATTGTTGAATTTAAGTGATGAGTTAATCGGTAAAATGAGTGACAGTCAAGTGAGCCGAGTGGTATTTATCTCCCCAATACGTTACAGCTACTGTATTACAGGATATTGACCACTCTTTCTTAGAAACCGTCACACTCGCACACGCATACTCACAAAGTGAGAGCATCATGGGATATAAATGAAAATGTCACTTGCATTTTTGGGCACTTGAAAAGGGCTCGAATGTGATCATCTGACAGATACTGTGAAGGGCAGGGCTCTCCTGTTGCAGGGAGGGAGGGAGGGAGGGAGTGTGTGTGTGTGTGTGAGAGAGAGAGAGAAAGAGACTGTGTGTGTGTGTGTGTGAGAGAGAGAGAAAGAGACTGTGTGTGTGTGTGTGTGTGTGTGTGTGTGTGTGAGAGAGAGAAAGAGACTGTGTGTGTGCGTGTGTGTGAGTGAGAGAGAGAGAGAGAGAAACTGTGTGTGTGTGTGTGTGTGTGTGTGTGTGTGTGTGTGTGTGTGTGT